GAAGTTAGAATGAGGACCCTTTGGGAAGTGGGACCCCAGGCACATTCAGAGCTTCTGTGCAAATTGAAGGACAACAGATGGCCAAACAAGGAGATTGAGGGCCCATGGCAAAGGCTTCTGCCTCCGGGCCCCTCAGCCTGCAAACCCCACGTGTGGAGTCAAGGGGGTAAGAACAGGGAGGCTAGTCTTCACGGAAGTCACTGTGTTCCCTTTTAGGACTCCAGCCCCTGGGTCTCCTGCTTGAGAGCCCTCAGGAATCTTCCTGCCAAGCGGTGGAGAGGAGGAGGGGTGGAGGTGAAAGGGAAAGACGCTTCGATCGAAGGCGTTCCGATCTCCCCTCCCCTCCCTGCGCAAGAGAACACCCGCCCTCAGTCCCAAGGACCAAGGTCAAGGTCATTCATGGACGGGCAGGGGCTGCAGCCTCCATCCTGCGCCTCAGATGCCCCGTCTCGGGTGACCACTAGAGGGCGTCCGAGCCCCTCCGGCGGCCCAGCTGCACCAGCCCAGTGGCAGAGCTGTCCCCTCCCCAGTGGCCCCCGCGCTATCCCATCCCAGCCAGGGGTGGTGCGTGAAATGGGAGAAGGAAAGGGGCCCTCTTTGCCCTTGGCTTCAAACCCCTGGGGATCGAGGGAGTCTAAATGCCAGGGAGAGAAGAGAGATGCTGATAGGTGCAAGCTGCAAAAATGTAGAGCAATGAAGACCCACTCAGTAAGGAAGAGAAATAAGAGGGTTTGCTTAGGATTGCGTGGCGATGCTTAGGGTTGACCCCTGGGTCCGAGCTCAGAGATCACTCCTGGTACCACTTGGGAGACCCTGTGGGGTGCCCGGGATCAAACTCAGGTCTGCCACATGCAAGGCTTCCCCACTGTACTAGTTCTCTGGCCTGAGAAATGTTGGTTTTTTGTTTGTTTTTACAAATAAGACAACAGCCTTTCACTATTTTTGGTCTGACAAACCCATTACAACAAAGTCTTCGTATGTACAATGCAATAATACAAAGTCAAAGATGGTTTTGATGTTAAAAATAAAAGACAAAAACACTTAAGAAGTCATTTCTGTTTAGCTTTAAATGTAAAGTTTCATTAAAAATGATGCTATTAACATCTTGGATACAGACACAAGATTTAGGTTCAATTATATTGACAGTTCTCAATTTTTTTTCTTATGCTTTATTTAATTTTTTTGTAGGAGTATTGCTACTTATTGAGAAATGTTTTAATGCACTATTCTCAAACCAAAATTGATGTCAAAGAAAGATAAATAAAATACTAAAGATTAAAATATGGCAACGTCTGACATCCCACCTGCCTCCTTACTCTTCAGCAAGGAGCAAACAGTGATGCTGGTGCTTTCGGGAGCTGCCCTGGGGCCCGGCCAGCCTGGGGCCCCTTCCCTGCTAGTCTCCACCTCCCCTTCCCCAGAGGGCCCTGGGAGCTGCTATCAGAGTGACGGGCGCTGCCGGCCTTGCAAATCCACCCTGATGGCTGTGGGCTCGCCGGGACCTGCAAGCAGAGCTCACAGAGCGGATGCCCTAGTGACAGACTGGATTCTGTCAGGCCTGGCTCTGCCTGCTGATAAAGAACAACTCATAACTTCAGATGACAAAACCGGCCAACTTGACAAAGGAGAAGGAATGTAACCTAAAGGCAAAGTCAAAATCTAGACCACCAAGGTATGGCTCTCCCCAATCCCCATGTTCAAAATGAAATCCCTCATTAACAAGCCACCCCCGGTACCCCTTCTAGGAGAAAAACCCAGTTCAGGGACACAGAGGTGGCCTCACAACAGGACAGGCCATTCCACTCCCCAAGCTCTCTGTTAGTGGAAGTCTCTGCTCTGGCAGGAATGTTCCCCCAGCTGGACAGTATGTGCCAGGCCCAGTGGTGACCAATGGCGGAAGTCAGGCTTCAACTGATTAGGGGGTGAAGGGGGGGTGCAAGCTGCCAGAGGCTGAGACAGTAGGAAAGAAATCTGACAAAGGTGGGAGGGGGGCACTTCCTGCCTAGGCCCTGGGAATGGGGTTGATCCGAAGGGTCAACTAAACAAGACCTAGGAGCTCACCCCAGCAAAACTGATGCTTTATTTCAAGTTTGAAACAAACATACAAATAATGCCACCCACCACCTCCCAGAGCCTGAACCGGCACCACAAGTCTGCAGGAAGAGAGTTAATTCACTGAGCCGGTGACCCAGTCAGTCCTGGGACCCCCAAACCATGGCCTCACAGAGAGTTAGGCCTGGCCCTGAAGGGGCCACCGCAATGATGGGGCTGGGTGTGGGTGGGGGGCAGTCAAGAGGAAGCCCCAAAGCCGTAGTCACCCCAGGAAGACCTTCCTGGCAGCCTTGTGAGCTAGCCAAGAGCATGGCTCCCACTGGCAGTAAGCCTGGCCAGGAGGGACTGGGGCACGGGCAGCCATGCACCGGCAAGGCTGGATTCCAGCACCGCCTGCAAACACTGCCCTCAGTCTCGAGGAGGTGGGTGACTCAACCAGCCCTTCCCATGCAGCGCCCAGCCCTGCAGCCACCCTCGCCTGAAGGTGGCACAGAGCAGCCGATCCACCCCACAGAGTGAACTTGTGGCAATTTGCATATGACAGAGGAGAAACTCTTCCCGCTGCTGCCCCTCCTGAACCTTCCACCCCCCCCCCCTTCCTTGTCCCCGTGGTAGTGGCCTCCTGGATGCCTTTCTCTGGCCCCAGTGCACCGTGTGTGTATCTGTGTACGTTTGTGCAAACATCTCTGTGTGTGTGTATGTGTGTGTGTGTGCTGCCTGCTCACCTTCCCCAAAAGGCCCCCTGGCTCCCACACCTATGGCCCTGGCTCCCAACACCCATCTTTTCTGTATTAATCTCTCCAAAGGCAGCTAAAAGAAAAGTTATTTCTAAAGTGAAATCTGGCCCCAACGTCCTTCTGTAGGTCCTCAGTTTTCTTTCCTCAGTTACAAAAGAATTTTCACAAGGAGGGCCCTTTGCCAGCCTTCCAAATAAACAGACATCCCAACATAGCTGGCCTTGCTGTGGCTTGTGCTGGAAAGATGGGTCCCTCCAAGCCTCAGACCAGGCTCTCTCCATGCCTGGGGTCTCCTCCCTTGCTCTGTCCATTCCCACACTGTCCCCAGACCCTGACCAGCCATGGCCCTGACTGGAGGTACCTCCTCAGCCCTCCCTCAGTCCCCACAGCTGCAAGGAGCTAGGCATGAGAGCAGTATGGTACCCACACACTACCCCTCCAGGTGCTGGGTGCCCATGACCTCATGGCTGTGTGAAAAACTGTCGGCCACATTAAAATAGGGGCAAGAGCAGATCCCCTCCTCCCTGCCCACCACCCCCAGCCCTTCTGCCCAGCCCTGCCAGGGGAAGCCGACCTGATTGGCTGTCGCTTTTGAGGCACTGTGGAGTCTTACCTGGTTTCAAGCTAGGAGAGAGCAAGGCATGTTTCTAGAAGGAAAACGTTCCATCCATCCACCTGTCCATCCATCCCACCCATCACAGTGCCCTGGGAGAAGGCTGACCTGAAGCTCCCCCACCCCCGCACTGCCCCTCTGGTTCCTGCACACTCTTAGGATGAGGCCCCTCCTGTTTATAAGCCCTGCAGTGTGAGCCCTCTCCACCAAGCCCCCAGGTTCCAGGCAGAGCCACAGGCCAATGGTCGCACTGGATGGGGGACCGAGGCACAGAGCTGTCTGTGGCCCTGACTCTGCCCACCTGTGCAGGGAACCTGAGCAGGACACTCCACAGTCTCCCTCTCTGCTGGGCTGGTGGATTCTGCTCCCCGAAGCTTCGACTCTGCAACACTCAGCCCCCTGGATAGCACAATCCCAGTGCTATCCTCCTCAGGCCAGAGACCCTGTGGGCAGGAAAATCAGGAGGGGTACTGTGCCCATGTATGTCCTGAGTACAGTACCCCACCCCCACTGCCTGTCAAGGGTCAGGATGGGACACACGGTCCCACAGCTCCACCCCAGTCCTGGAATCAACCACCCTTTACCCATTCATTCCTGCCCTCCATCCTTCCAAGAACCATTACCAGCTAAGAGTCCACCCGTGAGCCAAAGGAATGAGGCAGTGATGGCACAATTTCAGGCACTGAAACATCTTAGGGATGTGTGGTTGCCTGCTTCCCCCTTCCTGAGTCCATTTCCTAACAGTGGTCTTGGGGGGCTGGGCAGATGGGGTGAGGGTTGGGGGAGGGAGCCTGGCTCTTCCAAGCACTCTGCACAGCCTGGTGACCCTTCCGCAATGCTAAGTGCCCTGTTCCCCCACCACCACCACCACCACCCCTGCAGTAGGCTTAGAAGGGGCACTGGCAGCCCCTCCTAGTTCCCGGAGGGCTCCACAGAGCCTGGCTCAACAAACTCTTCTTGTGTGAGACTGCCTGAAGCCAGCAAGCTGCTGCAGGGACGCTCCCAAGCTTCCGCCAGCCCTGCCTTTGACCTTCAGCGCACCACTTCCTGCCTGGCAGGCCAGGAGAGCCAAACCAGGTGTTCATGATTTCATCTCTTAGACGGAGCAACTGTGTGGAAGACTTACAGGTTAAGTGATGAGCACAGTGAGTGCGGCTCAGAGGAGGCCTCGACAATGTCCATCTCCTTCCCTGAAGGCCCGCAGACCCCCGACACCCCCGCCCATTCCCACCCCACCCCCGGGCCCCCGCCTTCTGTTTCGAGAATAATCTCAGCTCAGCACTGTTTTTGACCGAAGCCACCAGGAGTCTCAGGACAGTGACCTGAGGAGGTCCTGAGCAGGTAGTTATTTTTACAGAAAAAAAGATAGGGACCTCCCCACGCACACCGCTGCCTTCCTGCCCTACCGTCCAGAGCCCTGGGAGCACAGAGATGCGGCTCCTGGAATCAAGCCCTTAGGATTCAGCTGCAGGGAGCAGGGAGCTCCCCGGGCTCCAGTCCCGAGGTCCCCAGGCCGCCCACCGCAGAGATGCATCCAGGCCGCCTCTGTGGCCAGGGAGCCTGGGGCCCTGCCTGGGGCCCTCCCTGTCCCGGTCCCCGGTTCAGGCCACGTCCAGAGGCTGCAGCTTCTCACTCGGGGGCTGCGCCCGAGCAGCCGCAGCAGCTGGGGCGCCGCAGGGACTGCATGACGGCGCGCAGGGGCCCCCGGCGGCCCTCGGCGGACAGCCCGTCCTCGCTGGTGGGCACCCGCTGCAGCTGCTCGAACTGCATCTCCAGGTGCTTCTGGATGGCCACGCCGAGCACTTCAGGGTCCACCGCGGCTCCGTACACCTCCCACGTCATGCCTTCTGCATCCCACCGCACATCGCGCACGGGTGAGGACGTTTCCTCCAGGCCGGACCCCAGGATCACCTCCGGGAAGGCGTGCAAGGCCACGGGGGCCTCGGGGGGCGGGCTGGTGGCCACGGCCTTGCAGGCGGCCGTCGGGGCCACCTGCACACCAGCGTCCTGGGCTGAGGGCAGGGCCGCCGGCGTGGGCGCCAGGTCACTGGCTGAGGTCATGGTACATACATCCTTGGTCCTGGTGCCCGATTCCGTGGTAAAGCCAGGGGGACCCCAAGGGTGGGCACAGTAGTGGGTGTGTCCAGGGAGCACCCCTGGCAACAGGTACTGCAACTTTGCCCCATGCTGAGCCTGTAAACCAGATTCACTCACGGATGCCACCAGCTTGGGAAAGGCCAGGATGCCCGGGGTGGGCAGCACATGGCAGCAGCCCCCAGCCCCCGCCTCCCTCATGCCACAATGCCGCGCTGCTGGGGGTAAGGCCTGGCTGGTGGTGGCGGCCAGCTGTCCAGGGGCTTCTGGCCCTGCCCGGGGGCTGCTGCTCTGGGTGTCTGCGTCCCCGTGGGCGAGCTGTGGCACGCACACCTGACTCTCTCCCGGGGTCCAGGCTGAGTCTGAAGTCCCATCCTTGGGACCCAGGTCCCGGTCAGGGTCCACAGAAGCCTGGCTTCCTGGGCCGGAAGTGGTGCCAGGCTGCAGCCGAGCCCTGTGGACCGGCGAGCTGCCCAGGGCCGAGCAGCTGAGACTGGCCTTGTGAGCCCCGCTGGGGCCCCGGGTCTGGATGACCCGGGTGAGGTCTGAGTGGCTCCTCTGTACAGCCACAGTGCTAGGGGTCCGCAGGTGACACAGGCCGCCCCCACTCACACTCGACACATTGCCCACGGTGCTGCTCCGCCAGCGGCCGGCCCGAGGGCTGGAGGTCAGCGCCTGCTCCCTGCCCTCAGCCTGGGGTCCGGCTACCGCCAGTGCCTTGGGACCGGTGTTGTCCTCGGCCGGCTGGGGCTGCCACACGGTGCTGCTGGCGCTCTTGCGGAGCTCGGGCCTGGGCCCCCCGCCTTCTCTCAGCAGGCTGGACGAGCTCCGGGACAGGGGCTGCGGGCCGGGGCTCCGGGGTGCCTGCGCAGCTGGCTCAGGGTGGCGGGTGCTCATGGCTGCCTGCAGGAGAGAGAGTGGGGAGGAGAGAAGTTGAACTGGGTGACAGCACCTCGGCTGGATTCTGCTGTGGGCTCCCACAGTGCCGGTGAACAGGGGGGAGCAGCTTTATTTATTTATTACTTTTGTATTGAATCACTGTGAGGTAGACCCTTAAAAAGATGTCCATGCAGCGCTGGAGCAATAGCACAGCGGGTAGGGCGTTTGCCTTGCACGCGGCCAACCCTTGGCCAACCCAGATTCGATTCCCAGCTTCCCATATGGTCCCCTGAGCACTGCCAGGGGTGATTCCTGAGTGCAGAACCAGGAGTAACCCCTGTGCATCACCAGGTGTGACCCAAAAAACAACAACAAAAACAAACAAAACAAAAAAAAAGATGTTCATGATTGGATTTCAGTCACACAGTATTCCAACGCCCATCCCTCCACCAGTGTACATTTCCCAGCACCAGTGTCCCCAGGTTCCCTCCCATCACCCCCCCTCCCCCTCCCCCCTGCCTGCCTCTATGTCAGGCACTTTTTTTTTTTAAGGAGAATGGGCAAAACACTCCACATCCTTTTTTTTTTTTTTTTTTTGCTTTTGGGGTCACACCCAGCGATATTCAAGGGTTACTCCTGGCTCTGCGCTCCGGAATTAATCCTGGCGGTGCTCAGGGGACTATATGGGATGCTGGGAATTGAACCCAGGTCGGCCACGTGCAAGGCAAACACCACCCTACCCGCTCCAGTCCCTGGCAGGCACTTTTCTACTTCTTCTTCTTCTTCTTCTTCTTCTTCTTCTTCTTCTTCTTCTTCTTCTTCTTCTTCTTCTTCTTCTCTCTCTCTCTCTCTCTCTCTCTCTCTCTCTCTCTCTCTCTCTCTCTCTCTCTCCTCCCCCCCTTTCAGCCATTGTGGTCTGCAATATTGATACTGAAAGGTTATCAAGAATATCCCTTACCTACTCTTAACACTCAGATCTTGTCCAGTGTGATTGTTCCCAGCTATTGTTGTCATGCTGATCTCTTCTCTATCTTACCTACCCTCTGCCCCACACACACTTGTGGTTAGTTCCAACCATTGACCAGTCCTCCTAGCCCCTGCTTTCCCTGGCCACGGATATTAGTCTTCTACTACATATTATTTTTATATACCACAAATGAAATGCAGGCCTTCTATATTGGGGAGCAGCTTTAAACCCAACCCAGCCAGAGGAGTGAGACCCAGGAGCAAAATGGTGTCAGAATAGGGACCCCTATCATCACACTGGGGCCGACACACCACACCACCAAGAACAAGCTCTATGCAGTCAGAACCAGTCCCCGAGCAGGGTGCTGAAGACCACTCCCCCCACCCACGCCAGTGGGGCCACACCCCTACTAGACTTCACAAAGGAAGGAGAACCCGGGAAGAGGCTACATCGGGCATGGGGGTGGAAGCTAGGGCTTTGGGGCAAAGGCTCATTGCTTAGTACTTTAATAAGCAGTGAAGTTCCAGGAGCAAACACCAGCCAGGTTCCTCTGATGACCACCAGTGCCCTGAGCGAATCTGAGGGCCTCCTCGGTAGAGATGGGATTCAGGGGTTCGTGGGATCAGCAAGCAGTGAACAGAAGACACCTCTGATTCTGAGGACACCTCTGGATTCACCTCTGTCACGCTTCCCATCTCCAGACTGACTGACTGTGCTTCAAGACCCTGGGACACAGTCTTGGCCACTGGGGAAGGGAAGGCTCCCTGTTCCCACCTCTGCGTACACACACACACACACACACACACACACACACACACACACCAGCCCCGTAGATGCAGGCACATTCCGCATCTGTTCAATCATCCCCAAGCAACTCCCTGCTCTCCAGACTCTGGACACAGGGTCAGGGAACAAATTCAGGTCTGTAGATGGCCCTGGAATGGGGTCCAACACCAGCACGCAGTGTTTGAATCCCCTCTTGCCAAGTGTGCCTGCGCCCTGCTAGCTCCCAACTTCACTGCTGGTCCTGTCCCTCTCTCGGGCCACAGGGATGTTTCTGATCCTGAGAGCCGATCCATTCACGACCTAGAGGCAGCGCTGGCTCCTGCCACCTCAGCATCTCCTCCAGGGGCAGCTGTCCTGAGCAGGCCGGGCTCGATCTCTGACTGAGCCCTGCCTGGCCTGGATGGAAACATCTGACCAACTGCAGGCCCCTCATCAGCCTGAAGCTGTCAAAACCAGACCTGGAGCCTATTCCCCTCTGTCTGGCCGGCGTCCAGCACTGACCTGGAACTGGCCCTCAGAGAACGTCTGCCTAATGTCTGATGGAGAGAAGTAACGGGACACAGGAGAAAACTGTGGGGTCAGAGAGAGATAGAACATCAGGGAGGGCACCAGCAATGAATACAGTTCGCTGAGCACCACCAGGAGTGACCCCTGAGCACAAAGTCAGGAGTAAGCCTTGAGCACAGACAGATATGGCCCCAAAACAAAAACAAACAAAAAACACTCAGCACTATCCAACCAAGGGCAGGGTCTGAGAGAGTTTTTCCAAAACGGAAAAACTCACTTTGTATGAAAGATCTTGTCCAGCTTTGCAGCTCTAAGCCCAGCCTAGAGAGGAGAGAGGAGGGGTGAGGGGGTGGGCAAGGTCCCAGATTTGGACAAAGTTGCGAATTAGGAAGCTCACCTGGGACTCCCTGCCAGGCAGGACAGGCTGGAGGAACAGGGTGGGGACAGCAAGCAGAGTTGCACTTTGGGCAATCCCCTCCCCTCCCTCCACCCCTGCGCTGATAAGAACTGCTGAGAAATCAACCATCCTAGCCAGATAAGCAAAGGGAATGTGGGAAGGGCACCCGGGAAACTCAGTTTCTGTCTAACTACAAGCCTCTCGTCCCGGTGCCCCAGAGATGGCTAATGGTCACTGTAGCGACGGTGAAGATGCTTCTAGAGCCACAGAGCATGGCTCTAGAAGCAAGCTATGGAGGCAAACTATGGAGTTCATTCTACTGTACCCACTGCTAAAATATAAGGATTCTACCCTTTGCAATATAAGGATTCTACCCTGTGCATCACTGTGATGAATGACAACTGTTCAAAGCTTTGCAACTCTACACACAGACACACGCAGACACATATGGACATATGGACACACAGAGGCATGCATAGACATATGGACACACACAGGTACAGACACACATGCAAACATATGGGCACACAGAGACAGATGCATAGGGACAAATGTGGACATACAAACAGTCATGGGCACACAAACTGACACAGACATGGACATGCACAGACACACATGGACACACATAGGCAGACACAAACAGGCACAGACAGAAACACATGAACACACAATACATACAGACACATATGTACACACAACACATACAGACACACAACACGCAAAGACACACAACACATGCAGATCACACATGGACACACAGACACACATGGAGACATACAACACACACAGACACACACATATGTGCTGCTACACATGAGTGCTGAATGGTCTTTCAGATTGGTCCATAGAATGGGCAAGAAAATGAGGTGAGAGACCAATGGGCAGCCCTCAAGAAGTGCAAAGAAACCACAACACCCACTAAGAGAGAGAGAACAAAAGGGAATGCCCTGCCACAGAGGCAGGGGGGATGGGGGGATGGGGGGTGGGAGGGATACTGGGACCCGTGGTGGTGGGAAATGGCACTGGTGGAGGAATGGGTATTTGACCATTGTATAATTGAAACCCAAGCACAAAAATGTGTAAGTCTGCAACTGTACCTCATGATGTCTCACTATTAAAAAAAATTTTAATAAAAAAAAAGACGTGCAAAGAGGAGTATATAAAACCACAGTAATGATAGTAATTAGCATTATTACAGGTCTCAGTATTAAATCACCCCACATGTGCCAGACACTCATCCATTCCAGCACTAATTGCCAAGGCAAGTTCAGGAGCTACATCATATGCCCATTTTACAGATAAGGAGGCCAGAGTTCAGAGGTTCCGTTACTTGTCCAAGGGTACAGAGTGGATGAGTAGCTAAGCCAGAAGTCAGATCTCGTCTACACATATCTGAGGTTCTCCCAGCCTCCTCTGAGCACTATGTCATCATCCATCTTGGAAGTGACCCCCCCCCCTCGGCTATTAGCATCTTCTTTACTTACCTGTTGCCTTGGCTCAGGGGAGCCCTGGTACCTAGCACAATGCCTGGCGCTCCCGTAGTGCCCATTAACAGGCATCCAAAACAAGTGATGCGTGGGAACAGGCCTCAATCCCCAGCACACCTGTGTCTTAGGATGCACCGAGAGGAAGTTGCGGGGGGCGCGGGGGGGTGGGGGGGCATGGCAGAAGGTATGCCTGCTGGCTCATAGCAACTAAACACAGATCTAAGAATGCCAACTGAACCTGATTCAGGCAGCCCTGATAGGCCCCGGCTGAGGCCACCAGCACTGAACCTCCTTGGGAGCAGGCCCATAAAGAACCAAGCCAGGCCTATGCCCCCTGGAAAATCATGTGGGATGAGGCTTGGGGGACCCTCAAACCCCACCAGGAGCTAGCAAGAAATTTCTGTGACAGGGGGCCCACGACACCTGCCTCACCAGATGGCAGGGCCAGCCATCACCCAGATACCCCCAGGAAGTGAAACGGGGGGGCGGGTATATATCTGTTAGCTCCCTTCTAACACCACCTGCTTAGGCAATGACAAAACTGAGCCACTGAGAAATGTGAAAGAATCCACAGCTGGCCCCCAGCAGAACATTGCTCTGATAGCAAAGTCCTCCTAGCCCTGAGGAAGGGAAACCTCTAAGGGAAGCCACTTGGGGTAATGCTGTGAAAGGTGGTTTTCCCATATGATCCCTGCCCCCAAGATCCTTGCCCCCAAGAGGGCCTCCCCAGATCCTGAGAGCTAACCAGGAGGGCTTGGAGTCACGGGCAGAGCAGGGAATCTGCTTCTACCCTTGGTTTTTCCTTGTTCTAGGTGGGATTTTCCCTTAGATTGTCACCCAACCTTTCTGAGCCTCAGTTTGCCCAATCTGCAAAATGGAAGCAAATCTTTCCCACTGAGTTGTTGTGAACAACAGCATGCAGATCATTAATAATCATCCCTGTCCCTCCCACCCAACAGACATATACTCAAGGCAGCATGGGGACAGAAAAGCCCTTTCGGGAAATGGTCAAACTGCCAGCCTAGTTTACCAACTCATTCTTTCTACCTTCATCCCATCCCAGAACTTGGTCACCACCAAGTTCTCAATGTCCCAAGTGTCTCCACTACCCAGTCTATTTTAAACCTGATCTGGGAGAATACACACACATACACAATTACAGCATACATGTCACACAGATTTGGAGGCTGCATTTGAAATGCCCAACATGTCAACTATGGATGCCTGTGGCCAATGTGGGGATATCCCTGACACTCAGCTTGTGGGTAAATAAAGACACAAACAGCCTCACATGCAACAACCAACCAACACCATTTTGAGTAAACCTTGTCAGTTCTGCAGAAACTTGCAGACTTTCCCAACAAACGAGACAGACACGTTGACTCATACAGATTCCAAGTCCTTCACACCGCCCTAGCAGTGGAGTACAGGCCTTTGTGGGTATTCTCAGGGGACTAGAGAGTCAATCCCAGCAGCCCGTCTCAGACCATGCTTGTGGCATCCATCACAAGACCCCTTGCTAGGGAACTAAGTACTTGGATGATGACTTTTACTCAAGCAAAACCCAAACAGGAAAAGCAAACCTTGTGGTCAGGAGAGGAAATTACTTAAATTTCTCTTTGAAAAGAGAGAAAAAAAAAAATGGGGCAACCCGACCTCATACACCTCTTTGCATGGTGGGGGCTTGGCTTGCTCCTTGGTGGTGAGCCATCGCCCATCCCAGCCACAATGGGAGGCCTGACTCCCCCCCAAAAAAAGCTCAGGCCAAAGTAGGACAAACCAGCGGGGAACATTCCTGAGCCACAGAGAGAACAAAGCCTCGCCATCACACAGAGCATGAAGGTGAACAAAACGGTGCCAGGAAATGGGGTGACTGTGAATCAGTGGTCCTCAGCGCTTCACTTCTGTTCCCCAGTGAGGCCTAGCACCCTCCTCCCAGCCCTGAGCATCCTCCCCAAAGGATCTGCCCAGTTCCCGGGGGTCACCTAGGATGTAGCAGCCGGCCAGCTGCCTTGGGTGTGTCTCTACCTGTCTGCTCACGGGGCGCCCATGGACCATCACGGACACACGCACATGGCGAACACACCAGAAGGCCACACAACAGGCCGGCTGGCCGGCTCCCCGCAGGCCAGAGCGGCCGCACGACTTCACTGTGCGCGCAGCCAGGCTGCCTTTGGACAGAGCGCATCACACGGGCTCCCCGCCCCCTTCACTCACAGCCCACTCGGGCGGGCTCCCGGGGCGGGGTGCGTGGGGGGTGGGGGGTGGGGGGTGGGGGGAGGTCCTCAGCCTGGCCTGGAACTGGGTTGCAGACCTTCCCAGCAACAAAGGTGGCCACCGAAGGACGAGGGGCCGGGGGACAGGAGATGGGCAGCAGGGACGCGAGAAGGGAGATGAGATCTGCGCAGGGGGCGGTGGGGGGAAGAGTGGGGTGCGGAATAAAGACGCAAAGGGGAGGTATGGGAGGGGGGAAAGCATTGGGCGCAGGGGTGGTGCAGGAGTCGGAGTACAGGGCAGAGTGTTGGAAACTAGGAGGCCAGGCAGATGAGACAGTGAAGAGGGGTGGGGATTGGCAAAGCCAGAGGAGATGGGGAATGCGGCTGTGAGGGGCGCGGAGCACCAGGCGAGGATGCGGAGGGTCTGCGCGCAGGGAGAGGTGATGCGTCGGGCTCGGGGGGCGCCGGCAGGGAGGCATCGCCGGTCCTTCGCCCACCTCCCTCTCCTCCCACCCACCCACCTCCCCCCGGCGGGTATGCACCAAGCTGACCTCTTATGCTCCTGCCCGCCCGGGGCCGCGCAGGCGGGAGGAAGCGCTGCTCCTGCGGCCGCCACAGGTGCCCGGCGCCGCGACCCAAGATGGAGCCGAAGCAGGAGTCCGAGCTGGCGCGGGATTGCGCCGGGCAGGGCCTACCGACACGCCGCGGGTCACCGTCCGTCAGGCCCGAGGAGCCAGCCGCTGGGAAAGACTCGAGGAGCCCGGGGAGAGGGCGGGGCGGAGAGGCGGAGGGGCGGTGGCCCCGCTCACCTGGGCCCGCCCTGGCCCCGCCCCGGTCTCACCCCCAACCAACCCGGTCTCGCCCCGACCAATCCGGCCCCGCCCCCAACCAACCCGGCCCTGCCCCAACCAACCAGACCACGCCCCCCAAAGGCCCAGCCTCCCGAAGGCCACGCCCAAATTGGACACGCCCCAACTCGGGCCCCGCCCCTGTGTGGCCCCGCCCCCGCCCCGCTCCCTGCTCCCCAACCACACACCTTTCCTACTGCTCGGCATCCACTTCTGCCCCAACGAGCCCCCAGTCTTCCCTTCCGATCCCCTCCGCGATATGGCCCTACTCCTTCTTTTGGGTCTACCCCCACCACGAGCCACTGTTTTAAAGATCAGTCCAACGAACCCCCAAGACACCCAGATCTTCTTGATCCCAGCCCGCCGCCCCCTAGTCTTACAGGCTGGCCGCCTCTCTCCACGCCCCTCACCAAGGTCTATCGGCCTTCGGTCGACCTCCTTACTCCCGTATGAGATTGACGTCCTGACCCGGCCCCTAACAAGTTTCGGGGGCCCCGCCTCTTTCCCCACCCATCACCCCCACCCTTACTTGGACATTGCCCTTCAGGAAACTGGGCTGGTCCCTCCTAACCCCGCTTTCACGATCTCCCTTTCTCCAAGTCCTGGATCCCATAGTTCAAGGGACTCACACCCCCCTTGCACTTCAGGGAGGATTCGTGTCTCTTGGCCTCTCCAAGCTCCCATCCCCTCCCCAGAGAGCGCCTCTCGGTCCTTACTAGCTCAGTTCCTTAGACTCCATTCCCAGGGTTGCGTCAACTCGAGCTTCTCAAGGACTGGGCTCTCCCACGCCTTTCTGCGCTATTTCCCAATCCCCATCTTTACCCCTCCACCTAATCTGACTCCAGGCATTCAACCTCTGGGCCACTCCATACTACTTACTACTGCTACTCTCTACAGACCCGGAATGTCCCCCATTCCACCCCCCCCCCCCCCACACACACACACACACCACCACCACCACCAAAATCCATCCGGCCTGGGAACCTAAAAACTTGCCGCATTCAACATCCCCCAAACTCAAACAGCTGCTGGTCAGGCTCCAGGGACACACACTATCCAAAGGTGGTCAATGACTCCCCGTGCCCTGCTGCCCTCAGAGATTCATATTTCCCACCTCCAGGGTCATCCAGTAAGAGGAGCTTATCCTCCTCTTATCCTCCTCTGGGCCAGTCTGAGAACTGAGTGCCAAAACTGATCTCTGATGTGACTCCTAACTCAACTCCTAACTCTGCATGCCCCAGTCCAGCAACCTGGTAACCAAGTCGTATCCTGTTTAGGCAGACCTCAAACTCCAGGTTCACCTCTCTGGACTCTCCCAGTTCAGCGGGGGGGGTGTCTGCAGAAAGGTCCCCATCCTGGAAATGCAGAGCCCAGACAGGAGCCCCAGAGCCCAACACCTAGTCCAGAGGAGTGGAGACACTGAGCAGCAAATGTGACTCAGGACCCCCTTTCCCTGTGCCCCCCACTCCCCACACACAAACCAGGCATTCTCTCATGTCAGACCCCTCTCCGCCTTAAACTGGTCCCATGAGATTGTCTCATTAGACAGTTACAGAAACACCACCTAACGGACATCATGTCATGTATATTTGACCCTGTAAGTCATGTGCTCAGGCTTCCCAACCTGGATTTTAAAATATAGACACCATTTCCTGCCACCACCCCATCCCCAGTCAGAGAGCCTGCAGCTGGGGGCCTGTAAGCCTTCATCCTACCTTTTTTGACCATTCTTCCAAGCTCAATAATAACTTCAACTCAGCAGCTCACTCACTGCATGGGGGTGAGGTTCTGCTCAGAAGGACTCAGGCTGCCCTAAGTACTGTTTTCCTGTGAGTGTTGGGGTGCCAAGAGTGGTGTCTCAGAGGAGTTTGAGACCCTGGCCTTCTCACTACATGCAGCGTGGCTGGGGTGGAGCTGGGGGTTCTACCAATAGAGAAATATTTGCTGAGCTCACCATGCATTCCTGATCTGCTCAGGAGGGTTCCTTTCCCACTCCTCAGGCCTCTTACTCATATTCTGCACTGAGCCCCTAAGAAAATGGGAGCTATCCTGGTTATAATTAGTTGCTGGATGCAAAATTGGGGAATCCAGCTCCCTGATCATTGGGGAATCCTCCACGAGTCCCACCAAGTGTTTCAAGGGCAGCCTCCTGGGCACGAGCAGGCAGAGACTTTCAGACTCATGTAGCTGGGCCTGCCACGAGGGTTCCCCAGCATCCCTCGTGTCTCTGTCCATTGCCCAACTGGTCCTTTTCCATGTCTGGCTTGTCAAGAAGGCTCCCTTGGCTCTGCGAGCTGCCCAGAGAGAGCTGGAGATGGAAAGTTGGGCATGAACCACAATGCAGGTCCCTCATGTAGTTCTGCTGTCCCACACCTACAAAGCACTCTCCAGTTTTCTAGGCATCAGCTTCCTTTTCTACAGGGATAATAATTGTACTGACTCAGGGCCTTAGGGAGATGGGGTTTATGGAAGTATTCTATAGTAATGCTTTTGCTGCAGACAGTCGTTCGATCAAATATTCATTGTGCTCCTCCTGGGTCAGGTTCTGGAAATACAAGCTAGACTGTAAGGCGTGGAGTTGGGAGTGGGGTTTCTTGAGAGGTAGCCAAGTGCAGCCATCTCCTAAAATTCAGATCCCTGGTGGAAGAAGAGCAAGTGGGGTTTCCCTCAGAGCCCTATCTTAGGCAGTCATAAGCAAGCACACATAAGAGACTGGAGTTTCTCCAGAAATCTGGGCATCCCCAAGCACAGGCATCCCTGAAGTCAGAGTCAATAAGGTCTCTGGGGACAGTGAAGTAAAAGAGGGCTCAGCTGTGAGCCAATCTTGGTGACAAAAGATTGAGAAGGAGCTTCCAGAAAGAGAGAAGAAATCTGGGATGTGTCTGGAACCTAGAGGGGTTAACACAAGCATTTTCAAGGAGGTGTTTCCCAGAGTAGATAGTGGGAAGCATCGGAGGGGAGTGGAAGAGTACAGTGTGACTCAAATAACTTATAAACAGGGCTGTAAATGGCAGAAGAAAGAACAGTGGTATATAGGAAGGGACTAGGGGCCATGAGAGATATTTTCTGGTTTGGGTTCTCTTGCTTTGCCAAGTTTAGGAGTCCTGACTTCAAGCAAAACTGAACACCTCTTGCTAAGCTGAGCAAAAAGCGGATGTGCTGGGAGTGTAGAAGGAAAAGTAACCATGGAGGGCTAGACTGGACACAGGTGACAGCAGTCAGGTGACAACAGATCTCAACAAGAGGAGCGCCCTATAGTGTCTCCCCCAACACATTACACTATGGGAGGAAGTTATTATTTATCTCCGTATTTATCCTAAGCACAAGATTCAAATTTGGGGGGAGCAGGAGTTCCTTGGCTACGTCAGCGATAAGCCCTCTGTCCTCGGCAGTGAGCGGAACACTTGGCCACATGCAGCACTACATGCACCCACAGTTTACCAGGACCATATGCAAAGGATATTTGACCCAGGAGTCGAGTAGAGCCTGGTGACCAGACACAGATATAACCACTGCACACCATAACCATTCTGAGCCAATTTGACAGCCAGCAAGAAGGCCCCATAGAGAGAAAATGAATGAAAAAGAAGCATGAGATTCACTGCTGACATAAGGTCCCCAGGTGGCTGGATTATGCTTTAAGCTTCAAATGCTTTAAGCTTCCCCACAAGTAATTGGAGGGCAAGAAGACATGATAGAGGTAAGGCTTTGGTAAAGTACTAGATTTGGACATTGAAGTCTGAGAGTTTCTCTCTTTTTAATTGTTTCTGTTTCTTCTGCAAAAGCAAGTTCACTTACTGATGATCACTTAATATCAAGATGGTTTAAGATAAAAAGCAGAAGACAGAAGGGCAGAGAGATAATCCAGGTGTTAAGGCATTTCATTGCACATGGCTAACCCTGGTTCAATCCCCAGCACCACATGTGGTCCCCTGAGCACCTGTGGGGAAACCCCAAGCATTGACTCAAGAATGGGTCCTCCTGGGGCTGGAGCGATAGCACAGTGGGTAGGGAGTTTGCCTTGCACGCGGCCAAACCAGGTTTGATTCCCACCAACCCATATGGTCCCCCAAGCACAACTAGGGGTGGTTCCTGAGTTCATGAGCCAGGAGTGGGCCCTGTGCAGCAACGGGTGTGACCCAACAAACAAAAAAGAAAAAAAGAATAGGTCCTCCTCATTTGGATGTGGTCCAGCCCCTAGTCCATTTCCTCCCCCAAAACAGAAAAGATAGGTCTGGAGAAGGAAGAAGGAAAGAAAATCATAGCAGTCATTGCAGAGAGTGGAAGAATCCTTCAGCCAAGGAAATGTTAGATGATGAATAAGCAATATAGAGACCCACACAAGATTTGTCAGCAGCAATAATATCCCTCAGAAAGAATCTTCAACCATGGCAGTTTTTGCTGGAACATCATTGTAAGATAGAGCAAGAGAAAGAAGTAGAGCCCAGAATTCTGGATGCTGGTAGTAGTCGAGCACATCTCAACAGCAGGGCTTACCATGAGTCAGTTGTGTTTGCATTCAAGCCAACTCTAACTGTACATATTGTCATCTAGCTAAATGGCACATGATCCCATGGAATAGAAATATGAAAACCAAATTTTGTCCCTATGAAAACTAGGTTAAGTGCTTTGGAATGTGAGTCACAACAGACTGGAAGGCCTAACGTTGTCTAGTTTGGGCAAACAAGAGAATTTACTGAGTCTAGCTTTGGGCTCAAGCCAAAGGTGCAAATCTTGTGGGTAGTCTCATTGCTTCTTCTCTCTCTGGGTTAGATTTATTTGTGGGGAAGGGAAGGAATAGCAGGAATGGTGGAGGAAGTATTTTTGCCACACCCAGAGGTGTTTAAGACATATTTCTGGCTCTGCTATCAGGA